CGCCTGCGCCACCGCTCCACAATGATGGGAAAGACCTCAGCCTGAGACCTTGGAGAGCCACTTCTGATCTGAGTAGACAACACTGATTTTGGTAGACCAAAGGTCTGAATCAGTATAAGGCAGCTTCACATGTTCAAAGTTGTCTTATCGCTTTAAGGAGCAAACACACCTGAGCTGAAAGCATGTTTAAGGGTCAGGGGAAGACTTTCTTAAATATTGTCTTGCACATGGGTGTAAAGAGGTTTCATTGCAGGCACAGCTGGTCCCCCTGCCATTTCTTGTTTTGAAATGAGCTGGATTCACAAGCGAAATCCTCCTCTGGTATCCTTCAGGTGCCCTCTGATATGCTCTCACACATATGTGTGTATACACACAGACTCACCTACAGAACTTTAGCACATATGAACTGAATTATTGTTGTATTACAGGGACCAGATCTCTGTGTTGTAAGGCATATACATCTACTTCCCTTTTAAAATTAACAGGATAGCCCTTGCGGGTAGGAAAGCTCCACATGTGCAGAGAGCTACCTACATAAGAGCTATCACCTTCATAGCAAACTGCTGGATCAAGGCGCGAGTCTGTCCAAATGCATCTTGAAGCAGCAGAATTATCCAAGTCTCTTCCTGCCTCTGCCACTGATTAACTTTTATGTCCTTCGGCAACTCCATTATTTTTCCTCACATGTGCTGCAGAGAATCATATACCTAACTATTGGCTAGTGTGCCTTGAGCCAAGAGGAAAGGCAGGGTATAAATATTTTAATAAATAAAATAAATAGGAGATTTAAAGGAATCCTTTCTTGGATATATCTTTTCAGAATGCAGCTCTCCAGCACTTATTCATCCGGAAGTCATTCCGACCCTTCAAATGCCTGCATTGTGGGAAGGCTTTCCGTGATAAGGACAAGCTCGATCAGCACTTGGGGTTCCACGGACGGGAAGGCAATTGCCCTCTGACCTGTGACATTTGCAATAAAGGCTTCATCAACAGCAGCGCTCTGGAAAGTCACATGAAGTTCCACTTGGACCAGAAAACCTACTCCTGCATTTTCTGCCCCGAGTCCTTTGACCGCTTGGATCTGCTGAAAGATCACGTGGCGATCCACGTGAACGATGGCTATTTCACCTGTCCTACCTGTAAAAAGCGATTTCCGGATTTTATCCAGGTGAGTAAAATGTACATTAAGAGCTGTGACTTCTGAGTCTCTTTGCATTTAGTCACTTCTCTGTGCTGTTTGTTTTCTCATGCTAGGAATCTTTCAGGGACCAAATCTCTGTGTTGTAAGGCATATACATCTACTTCCCTTTTAAAATTAACAGGATAGCCCTTGCGGGTAGGAAAGCTCCACATGTGCAGAGAGCTACCTACATAAGAGCTATCACCTTCATAGCAAACTGCTGGATCAAGGCGCGAGTCTGTCCAAATGCATCTTGAAGCAGCAGAATTATCGAAGTCTCTTTCTGCCGCTGATTAACTTTTATGTCCTTCGGCAACTCCATTATTTTTCCTCACACGTGCTGCAGAGAATCATATACCTAACTGTTGGCTAGTATGCCTTGAGCCAAGAGGAAAGGCAGGGTATAAATATTTTAATAAATAAAATAAATAGGAGATTTAAAGGAATCCTTTCTTGGATATATCTTTTCAGAATGCAGCTCTCCAGCACTTATTCATCCGGAAGTCATTCCGACCCTTCAAATGCCTGCATTGTGGGAAGGCTTTCCGCGATAAGGACAAGCTCGATCAGCACTTGGGGTTCCACGGACGGGAAGGCAATTGCCCTCTGACCTGTGACATTTGCAATAAAGGCTTCATCAACAGCAGCGCTCTGGAAAGTCACATGAAGTTCCACTTGGACCAGAAAACCTATTCCTGCATTTTCTGCCCCGAGTCCTTTGACCGCTTGGATCTGCTGAAAGATCACGTGGCGATCCACGTGAACGATGGCTATTTCACCTGTCCTACCTGTAAAAAGCGATTTCCGGATTTTATCCAGGTGAGTAAAATGTACATTAAGAGCTGTGACTTCTGAGACTCTTTGCATTTAGTCGCTTCTCTGTGCTGTTTGTTTTCTCATGCTAGGAATCTGTCAGGCGTCCAAAGGTAACATGCTGCCAAATAAGCTGACGAATAGCTTCAGAAGTGACATTTCCTTTACACTGAGACCATTTCCATGAAGGCAAAGACGTGCGAGTTGTCATTTGCAAAGTGCGGTGCAGGAGTTATGTTTTGTTCAGCGTACCAAGATTGGACAGCTCAGTTAACTAATCAACATATGGGCTGTCGACCAATTAAAGAATGTTAATTTGATGAATCATCTTCCTTTAAACTGAGTCATCAGTTAATTGAACACATCTGAATTTTACCAAAATTATAGGTGCTTTTTAGAGATATTCATGGCTTTACGGATTTTTGTTCGTTAAACATTAAGCTATCGCTTACTGTAGAAAAGAAAGATTCAGGTGGGTAGTCATGTGGGTCTGAAGCTGCGGAGAGTCCAGTGGCACCTTTAAGACCAACAGGAAAGCTCATACCTTAAATAAAACTTTGATGGTCTTAAAGGTGCCACTGGACTCAGACTCTGTTCTGTAGAAAAGAAAGGACATATTTAATTCTAATTTTTTTAAATTCCTCATTACAATGACAAACCAGAACTAAATCATTCTCAAAAAAAGAATGAAAGAAACTGTGTCCTTAACTCTATCTCAGCAATTAAATTTGATCCCCTACATATTAGCCAAGGAAAACTGTCTGATTAAATGCATGGAAGCCCAAAGCATAAATGAAAGGTAGCTCCAGGCATTACAGCTGCTGCAGAAAAACAGCTAATATTACAAGTGTGACACCGATATTTCCTGTAGCAAATGTGTAACGAGCACATGTAACACATGGATGCATGTGCATGAGCATACGCCAGTGATCTTTTTTCCAGACTCTCATAATCGTAGAGCCACCCTGCAAACCTAAGCAAAGGTTTTCTAGATGTGTGTCTAGTGGTGCTTAAAGATGAGTGTGCATGCATTCATGGCCCTCGACATATTAC